ATAGAATAGAATAGAATAGAATAGAATAGAATAGAATAGTTGGAAGGGACCCTTGAGGGCTTCTAGTCCAACCCCCTGCTTAGGCAGCAAACCCTACAAAACTTCAGACAAATGGATATCCAACATTTTCTTTAAAACTTCCAGTGTTGGAGTCTTTACAGCTTCTGGAGGCAAGTTGTTCCACTGATTAATTGTTCTAACTGTCAGGAAATTTCTCCTTGGTTCTAAGTTGCTTCTCTCCTTGATTGGTTTCCACCCATTGCTTCTTGTCTTGCCCTCAGGTGCTTTGGAGAATAGCTTGACTCCCTCTTCTTTGTGGCAGCCCCTGAGATATTGGAACACTGCTATCATGTCTCCCCTAGTCCTTCTTTTCATTAAACTAGACATACCCAGTTTGTCCAGCTGTTCTTCATCTGTTTTAAACACCTTTTATTCCTGCAGTGATACGCAAAGAAGTCGCTAAACGCTTTCCTCCCCCCATAGGTCATCATTTACATCATTGTGTCGGCTGCCTGCGGGGGCCTCTCCTGGCCAAGCTGCGTGAAGAAATAGCCGCCCGTGGTGATCCACCCCATGAAAGCACACGTGCGCATAGGAATGTATGTCATCCAATTGTGAACTTTCACACTCTTCATCCTCCCAGGACACTCAAGAGTCTTTTTTGCCTTATCACCTTGTAAAGTATACTCCTTCAAGACCCAAAGGATGTTTTTCTCCATAAACAAGCAGGACTTCCTGAAGGGAGAGAGAGCGAGGAGGGCAATGGACCAACGGGAGGTATCTAAAGTATTTGCATCCCCATGCTTTGCACTTTACTTGGGGGAGCAGGTTGGGGGAGCTGAAGGCCCCATAGACCTTTGGTGTGTGTGTGTGGGGGGGGGGAGAAGTGAGTGGGGACTGCTGAAGTCAACCGAGTTCTTTCTCACAGACCCAGCCCAGCGACGCCATCAGCTCTTTTTACTAAAACGGCTTTTTTCCTGCAGTGCCTTTCTTAAAACTCATGACAGGCTGTGGCTTTTTTTCCCTTCGAAGCTTCCTTGGCGGCCCTTTTTCGTCGGGGCGAGTGAAAGCGCTTCTGCTTTTCAACTCGAGTGACTGGTAAATGTATAACTATCAACGTTGCTGTAACATTGCTGCTATTTGTAATTTTTTTTGTGTCTTGGGTTCGTCTTCTCACCTAGTTTGGAATGTCCTCTGGCTTCATTTCCAGATGGTGTGTGTAAATACTGTTTTAGCGCCTCCAAAGAATCACACTCTCTGCAAGATTTAGTGACTGCCCTCTTCTCTTTGAGCGTGGTGGACCTATTGCGCCTAGTTCAAAAAAACCCTAAAAGTTAGAGAAGCATGAAGTAGTTGAAAACCAATTTTTAATCTCAAACTGCCATAAATTACTTGTGAAAAACTTTAAAAAAAAATCCCTCCCATTCGTGCATAATGTAAAGGAGGATGAATCTTAAATAGGAAGATTCTTCCCCCCGTGTTGGCATTTTATGATCTTGTCTCTGCTCACTCTTCTCAGCATACCGCAGAGTAAAAACTGGTGCACCTATCTTTGGTCTTCCTCTCCAAATGTCTTTGCAGGAACAAGCCCACATTGAATTAATTGTGCATGTCTTTTTTAAAAAAAATGTCAATAGCGGTGATTAATTTTCTATCATTTTGAATGCCTTTTGTGTAAACTGCTTCCTCTTTTAATAAAATGCACTGATGCATTATTGTAAAATAAATCTAAATCTGTTTAAATAAATGTACTTAACTGCAGACAATTGATATTCAGTTTTTTTTCTTGTCAAATAGCTTCTTGACAGCCGGGACTGCTTTTGTAAAAGTCCTGGAGAAAACAGAGATCCGAAAGTAGGGGCAGGGGGGAATCAGTGGCCTTATTTCAGAGCTTATACTGAGCTCTTATCTACGAACTTCCACATTGCTAGGAGCTTCATGTGGTAGCAGTGGCTCTCGGATCTTGTGGCAAGTTTGCCAGAAGGCAGCACTGGCAAACAATTTCAGGACCACTGCCAGCAAACTGGATAGATGTGTTACCCCCAGTGTGAATTACAAAACTGGTCCAAAGTCATATTTTGCCCATAACCTTGTGTTTGGATAAATAAAATTAAGTGTTTATAGAATGGTTTGAAAATCTGAAATCAAATTCCGGCCAGCCTTTATTTTACAAGTATACATCCAGTAATACTTATAATGTAATAGCCATTTTTATCATTCTGATTGGGCAAAAACATTTTATGGTGTGCCTGTTCAACATCTGTTTACACATTGTCTGTCTTACTTCTACTGTCTGATGACCCTTTGAAAACACCCTTGAGTGCCAGTTGGTCCATCTCTTAAATTTCAGCTGTTATTCCAGGAAGTATGGCAGGATAAAAGCAAGCAGAGAATGTTATATAACCATGCTTGTTTAAAGTCCCCATCCTATTGCAGAGAGATGACCAGTGAGCTCATTCACGAAGCATTTCAAGCAAGTAGTAGTTATACCTACTGATTAAGTCAGTGTGGTTACAATTAAGTGTTATTAACATTTCTGGATCAAAAGGAAATCACTCAGTCCAACCGCCAAGAAACAAATACAAACTGTCCAACTGTAGCAAGTTCATTCATTTGGCAAATGACTAACAGGAAAGCTTAAAATTGCTTCATGAATTCTCCTTGTGTGTTTTTATGGGTCACCGCCTCAGCTTTAACTATATCAATGCATTTGCTAAGTGTCAGTGTATTATTTTTCTCCCAAAATTATCATGATGAATCTTGTTTGAGAGAAGACACTAATTTTCTTGTTTCAGGATACTATCTACTACAGATAGTCCTTGACTTATGACCGTAATTGAGCCCAAAATTTATGTTGCTAAGTGGAGACATTTGTGAAGTGAGCTTTTACGACTTTCGTTACACAGTGATTTGTGATGCAAACAAAATGATTCACATTTGTGAAGTGAATCACTGGAGTTGTTAACAACATGGTTGTTAAGTGAATCTGGCTTCCCCATTGGCTTTGTTGGTCAGAAGGACACAAAAGGTGATGGCATGACCCAGTGACACTGCAACCATCATAAATATGAGTCAGTTGCCGAGGGTCTGAATTTTGATCATGTGACCATGGGGATGCTGCAAGAGTTTAAGTGTAAAAAATGATCATGTCACTTTTTTTCAGTGCCATCGTAACTTTGAAGAGTCACTAAATGAACCATTGTTAAGTCTAGGACTGTCCGTATATCTGTCTATGTAAAGAAAGCAGGACGCAAATTTTGCTACTAAAGACAAGATAGCACTAGCCCCCTTCACATTTATTAACTACAATATCAAGTCACATTGGTGGCAAGAAGTAGGGTTGGCGCACGGGCCAGCTTGCATTCCTAGGTATGATTGTATTCTTGCATTTGGTAAACTCCAGGAGCTACAGATTTCATTTTTAAAAAACAAGTTCCTTCATCCCAAAACAAACCTTCCCACCCCCACCCCAAAAAAACCCCAAAACCCTGGGTAGTAGAAAAGACTTGTACAAAAGCAGAAAGGTAGTTTTTCATATCAAGGAATTAAGTGACGATTATGAGAGAACGAAACACTTCCAAGTGCATTTTTTTTTAGCCGGCAAAAGTATTGCGACTACCCATACAAAAACTTGCCCAGCTAAAAGATAAAAGGAAGAGAGCTAATGGGTAAATAAGACCTCACATTATCAGCCTGCAGGCAAACGGCACATAAACAGTCTTGGAGACAACGGGGATAACCAAGCTTTTAAGACATTCTTCTGTGACAGATGATGCACTAGCTATTGTTTTTTAAAAAAACCTTTTCAAGTTTTATAATAATGATAAAAGTAGTGAAGATATCTGTTCGGGACAAGTAAAAAAACAACTGAATTTCCTAGAAAAGTTTTAAGTTTACACCAAGTGACATAAGAAACAGTCATTTCTAATTATGTTTACCTTATCTAGCTGCCTTTTGCAAAAGGGGGGGGGGGACCCAAAACCCTCACAGACCCAAAAATGTCTCGTTGCCACAGGAGCACCATCCCATGCTCTTCTTCCTTGTTGTGTACCATGAGAATCTTCAAATGTGTGCCTTGGGCCACACCTGTACCTTCTGGCACAAGAACCATCGTAATCAAGGCTCAGCAGTAAGACAAGAGTAGCAGGAACAAAAACCAGGCAACAAAGTCCATTGTCAAGACGAAACGAAGCAAACGTCCCCAAGTTCATCATTCCAGTCTGTCAAGCGTGGTGGCAATGGGGAGGAAATGGAGGCCTCAAGCGTGTCCTCCTGCCCAGCCAGCTGGGCTGTTGTCCAGTTACATAACCCAACAAACAAGTCATTGTTCTCCTTTTTTTGGTTTGGTTCAATAACATCCATCTTTCCAAGAGTCGTCCACAGGTATGTTGGCCTTTGGATATCTGTTGGTGTACAGACAAACATTTTACTTACACAATAATTACAATAAACAGTAATCAGGAGACAGGAGACTTAACGCACTAGTCTTAAAAAAATATTTATTTAAAAAGCAAATATCTTTTGCTGTTTGTTTTGGCTCAGTCTTGTTAGATCGCTTCAGAATAAAACTACATGTTCTGACCTAGGCTTCCCCAGAAGCACGAAGCCGAGTCCTTGTCCCAATAAACCCCTTTTATTTAATTTACAGTTAATTCCTCTCCAGCAAAGTCTTTCCTCTCCCACAGTCTTTCAAGATAGCTCACAATTACTGACTTTGATCAAGCTTAGAGAGTGGCCAGGCTGATATCTTTCAGATGCCGCGATACTTGGCAAGAATGCAGGAATGAACTAATTGTCTCCTGCAAACTCCACTCCCCTTTCGTTCCTCTTTTATTTCCTCTGGGACCGGCCATTCATCATCCACCTGTGGCCTTCCTCCCAAGTCCACCCTTCTTCCTTAGCTGTTCCTTTCATCTGGCAATTCTGCGCATGCGCACATTGGGAACAGGCTCCAGCTGTTGGCCTGTCTCACTGATCTCCAACNAGAGAGAGAGAGAGAAAGAGAAAAAAACGCTCTCTAATGGCCACCTATACATAGATAACTCTTAAAGAGGTAAATCTCAGGTGGACCCCACTAGAGTCTTAAAGAGGCTATGTCAGTATTGCTGAATCATCCTCATTGCATCATCTTATAGTTTACAGCTTACAACCTTACATCAGCTGGCAGCTATTAAATCCACATTACCTGTCATGTCAGGTGCTTTGGAGAATAAATGACCCCCCTGTTCTTTGTGGCAGCCCCTTTGATACTTCAATCGATTTTTGGGAAGATGGAATTAAAAAAAAATTGGATGTTGTCCTGAGTTCTTTCAGGGAATGAAATATGAAGTAACTCCTGATATGTATGCAGGTTTCATCCAGCTTCTTGTATCTACTGCATAGGATAATATAACCTTCATTTAATTATTTGACCTCAAAGGTCCTTCTTGAAATTTTAGCAAGGTGATGACTCATATGAAGTATTATGAGATCTTTTTATGTTTCCCATCACTCCTACCTGTGAAACATGTTTCTTGATTGCTTCCTTGATTTTTATATGGAACTTAATAAGCTATTTATTTTATATGCTCCTAGCTGCATTGGCTTAGCTTAGTTATTTAATAGATTAGATTACTGTTAATATCCTTAAAATTTATTTTAGTATGGCTGCTTCCCTGTGTGTATTTTTAGATTGCCAGTTGACAATTTATTGTAATGATTAGAATTTTTTTAGTTTAAAAAGTGCTATTGGAGATCGGCAAGTATATCTTCATAGTGACAAACAACTCAACATTACAGCCCAACCCATCACAACCCAACTTAAATTTTCAATAGTGATTACACCAAATTAACCTTCCTCATCTGCTGAGAGAGCTTCTTCTCAAAACAATCATAATTAGGGGATAATTAGGGGATGTTGGTCAGCTTCTAAATGCTTCATTTGTGCTTCCTTTGTCTACTACAGGAGATAAGATACTTATTACCTGTCCTCTCATTATCTATTCTTCATTAGCATGTTTTCTGGACTTTCTTTCCAATAGCACAGATGGCTTTTGGACATGAGATCAGCCAGAACTAATATTTTTTTTCTCGGGTTCTAAGTTACAATCAGTGGTGAAATTCATTTTTTTTTCTGTGGGCGTGGCTTGGTGGGCATGATTTGGTGGGTGTGGCAGGGGAAGGATACTGCAAAATCTCCATTCCCTCCCCACTCCAGGGGAAGGATACTGCAAAATCTCCATTCCCTCCCCACTCCAGGGGAAGGATACTGCAAAATCTCCATTCCCTCCCCACTCCAGGGGAAGGATACTGCAAAATCTCCATTCCCTCCCCACTCCAGGGGAAGGATACTGCAAAATCTCCATTCCCTCCCCACTCCAGGGGAAGGATACTGCAAAATCTCCATTCCCACCCCACTCTGGGGCCAGCCAGGGGTTGTATTTGCGGATTCTCTGAACTACTCAAAATTTCTGCTACCGGTTCTCCAGAACCTGTCAGAACCTGCTGGATTTCACCCCTGGTTACAGTTCCCTACCAACCATGGCTTAATTCAAAATTTCCTTGTATATTGGAACTAGGGCTTCCAGATCTGCAAGAGTCAGGTGTTAGATGGTATCAAAGAGGTATTAAGCATACCCCAACTGTTTGCTGCCTGCTAGTGATCCTTTGTGATCACCAATAGAAGGGAGAAACACCCAAAGTGTTTGACGGATTATTGTTCTTTATTATAAAAGCAGGAAGATAAGCCATTTGAATGATAAATTAATAGTTTTCATGAATGAATTATTGGTGATATAGTAGGCCTATCCGTTCCTAAGGCTAGTTTCCTTCTTTTTTTAAAAAAAAAAAAAGTTTTTTTATTAAGCTTTTTTTAAACATTAAGAAACAAAACACAAATTTCCACTCATTACAGCGAATCCATATCAGTAGCATTGATATCATTTGCATTTACATAAGCTCTATTTCTATATTCTCTAATATAGTCTGTATTGTATAAGATATCTCATAATCACTTAAAATATATTAATATTTACAGATTTTTACCGTGTTCCTATTCCTATGGCCAGTTTATTTCTATGCAATTCCAGCAAGGAATTATTATTATTATTTTGCTTCTTACTTTATAGTTTTACTTTGTTAAAAAAAAAGTTGGTAATAAGCTTAATATCAAAGTCGAAGTTATTCTGACCTCATAAAGGCCTCTCCTTTAACCAGGGAGGTTTTAAGCTTGCCTTCCAAATTTGATTTTAAAACCTTTATACTAAATTCTGACCACTGGGAGCCTTATTTCCTAAGTGGCTCGGGAAAGAAACACGACACGCTTCCAAAATGCATGTTGTGGGAAGCGACTGCCAATTGCACATTAGATTATTATTCTTTTGTGGAGGTAGCCATTAGTTTTGCTCTTTCTCAACTTCCTAAGTAAAGTGACATTTGCGAAATCTATAGATTTTTTTTCTACGCGCTTTGTAAGCAGGGCGTTTATTTTTAAGAGCTGTTGAAAAGGAAAATAGCTCGGTGTTTCTGGAGCCTTTGCAAAAACAGCCAAATGACAAACATTAGTCCAGGTTCTGCTTTCTTTCTTCCCCCGGGAGGTGTGTAATTTTTTTTTATATAATGGGGGTTTGGTTGCTTGGGAAATAATATAGTGTCAGAGTTTGTTGCAAAAATTAAATCCAGAAAGCACACAGAGATAACTGATTCAGCTGGATTCATTAAGTTCTTTACATACATAAGAATAGATGAATAAACGAACAATACCAACAGGTGGTTCTTCCAAGTAATCACAAGGCGGGAGAATTACAGGAAAAGCAGTTAGTTTCATTTCAGCAGACAATGAGACAGTGCAAAGAATTGAAACCGAAACTTAAGCAGTTTGCTGCTCTGAGAAGTAAACTAGCAGTCTGTCTGGGCTTGTCTGCTGAAATGAAAGCTAACTGCTTGTGTTTGTCTATAACTCTCGGAAGAATCACCTGTTGGTATTGTATATTTATCCATCTATTCTTATGGATATAAAGAAGTTAAAGAATCCTGCTGCATCAGTTATCTGTGTGTGCTTCTGGATTCGAATTTATGCAACAAACTCTGACAGATTGATCCTCAACAAAACCTTCACCCTGTCAATAGGTTAGGAGCTCAACGGTGCCCCTCTTCGCAACCACACAGATAGATTTTCTCATGGACACTCTGTCCCTAGCTTGATTTTTTTTGGATCTTCCCATGATGCCACAAACATTACTCAATGAAAAGGAAAGGACATGGGTGCTATCTATTTTAGGGGGGGGGGGTTGTTCCCCTCTTTGCCAGTCTAGAGAGATGGTGACAAGAGATATAGAAATGGATTTGAAGGGAATCTTCAGAATCCTTTAGAGAAACGACAAGAGCAGAGATATTCTTTAAGTCTTAGGAAAGACGGTAGAGTCTTAGAACGAGACTCAGGCTGGCTTCTGCCTGATCCCATGGGATATAAGGAGGAGGGAAGGGTAGACTTGCAATATTAGCCTACCTACCTAAAGTACTGCTCCAGTCCCTTATTGTCCAGGAGGCTTCCTGGTCCAATTTACTGCTTACAACTGGCAGATACCGAGAAACGGGACATATTCTAAAGTTAATTATAGTGGTAGGTAGAAATAAAGGAAAGTACATTCCCCTTTTTAAGGGGTAAATATTTTGACTGAGTATTGATCATATAAATGGGATTGGGAAAAATGATCCTTTCTTTCTTTCCTTCCTTCCTTCCTTCCTTCCTTCTCTCGCTCCCTCCCTCCCTCCTTCCTTCATCTTTCTTTCCTCCATCTCTTACCTTTCCTTCCTTCATTGTTCCTTCTTTCTTTCTTTCCATCCTTCCTTCCTTCTTTCCTTCCTTCCTACCCTCCTTCCTTTCTTCCCTCCCTGCCTCCCTCCCTCTCACCTTCCTTACCTTTCCTTCCTTCATTTTTATTCCCTTCCTTCTTTCCTTTCTTACTCCCTCCTCCCCCCTTCCCTCCCTCCCTCTCTCCTTTCTTACCTTTCCTTCCATTTTTCTCTCCTTCCTTCCCTCCCTCCCTCCTTCCTTCCTTTTCTCCCTCCATCCTTCCTTCCTTACCTTTCCCTTCCTTTCTAACCTTTCCTTCCTTCATTTCCCTTCCTTCATTTCTTCCCTTCCTTCCTTCACCTTCCCTCCCTTCCTTTCATGACACTTCAACCATTTGAGTCCAAATGCAAACACAGGATTATTAGAGTGCTAAATTAACAATTAGGAATAGAGCAAATATTGAAATGTGGCCAAGAATTAGACTCAGAAAATCAGGGTACTGTATCCAAGTATGGAAATATATTACATGTCCAGGTACCTCCAAGCACTCTAGAAACAGTGCCAATGTTGTGGTGGCAGCAGGGGGGTGGCGGGGCAGATATTGAAAAAAAAGTTGTGTTTAAAAGCTTC